GCTCAAGGCTAGCGCTCTACCACTTGAGCCACAGCGCCACTTCTGGCTTTTTTTCTTTTTGCTTATGTGGTGCTGAGGAATCGAACCCAGGGCTTCAGGCATGCAAGGCAGGCACTCCACCACTGAGCTACCTTTCCAGCCCGTTGAAGACATTCTTGACAGAAAATTTGAGATTCCATCTCGAATTAACTGGATGGAAGCCTGGCTCAAGCGGTAGCTCAGCTGTAAGTAAAGCCTGAGTTCAAGCCTTGATCCTGACACACAAACCCAAGAGTTTGTTTAGCCATTGTACACACAACTGACATGTCCTGCTAACCTGGCCATAGGTCATATACCAGTCATAGATCTATTCTCAGGCCTTGAAGTTTATTCACTCAACTAAATCTTTTCAGTACTGTAATTACACCCAGGGCCTGAAAAATGCTAGTCAAGTGCTTCTCCAGTTATCCATGCCCCCTTCCCTAAATCATCATTAGCAACTTTGCTCATGCTATGAACTCCAGGCTTGTAGCAGCCAAAATTTAAAAAATAACACCCCACGGTGCTGGAGATAGCTTGGTAGATGCTAATTTAATGTCCAGAGGTTACAGACCAAAAGAACTGAAAGACACACCAAGACAACTGTGTTCTTTTGGGAATTACATTATATTCAGCATGCATACCTAATTTTTGTCTTTTCATTAAGTATACCACCACACCACACCACACCTTGGAAGAAATCAGTTTATTATAATTAACTCAAAATAACATCAGAACAATGAAGGCCACACAAACACCTGTCAGCCCCAACTCTATACCATCTCAGTGAACCTGTATTAAGAGTTATAATACCCTCTGCCATGGCCACTCTTGAGGCAACTATGCAATTAACAACAAGAAGTTAACTTATAGTTTTACACTCTATAGTGTCACTACCAATTACATTTCCATGTTAAATTCACTTGGTCATCAGAGATGATTTTCCATTTCTTCAACTTGAACTTCACGGTTAAACTAGTCCTGCAAACAGAAAAGTAAGTTAGCATATTAGTGGCAGAAAATGAGACATTCATGACTATAATTTTCCTTTGTAAACTACTGAAAGCTTACTTCAACCATTGAAACTTCAAATTCTACACTTGCCACAGTTGAGGAACAGAAGCAGAAATCTAGCCACTTTGAGATTAGAAGAAATGTCAACAAAAATAAGAAACACATAGCTGGGTGCCAGTGGCTCACGCCTATAATCCTAGCTACTCAGGAGGCTGAGATCTAAGGATCATGGTTCAAAGCCAACCCGGGCAGGGCAGGAAAGTCCATGAGACTCTTATCTCCAATAAACCACTCAGAAAACTGGAAGTGATGCTGTGGCTTAAGTGGTAGAGCACTAGCCTTGAGCTGAAGACCTGAATGACAGTGCCCAGACCCAGAGTTCAAGCCCCATGAACGACCAAAAAAAAAGGAATTTCCCTTTTTTTTCTTTTTCCTGCCCAGGCTGGATTTGAACTTTTCAGATCCTTATCCTCCTGAGTAGCTAGTATTACAAGAGTGAGCCACCAGGACCCAGCCCCAGCTCACAATCCCTAGTTCTATTACCTAAAAAGATTAACTTCCCTCCTATTTCCTACCTTTACTGAAGGTGCAAAAATAGAAAATAAGCACTGTTGCTGTGAGCTGGTAGCCCATAATCTTATCTACTCTGGAGGCTGAAATCTAAAGAACAACCCAAGGCGCCAGGGGCTCCTTCCTGTAATGCCAGGGGCTCATTCTTGTAATCACAGCCACTCTGGAAGCTGAGATCTGAGGATCATAGTTCAAAGCCAGCCTGGGCAGGAAAGTCTGTCTCTTATCTCCAATAAACCACCAGAAAACCTTACGTGGTGCGGTGGTTCAAGTGGTAGAGCATTCATGCGCGCACATGCGCACGCACACACACCGGGGCTCGATTGGGCATTGGCCCTGAGATTTTCAATTTTTTTTTATCAGTTGTGGGGCTTGAACTCAGGGCCTGGGTGCTTGTCCTTGAGCCTCTTTTGTGCTCAAAGCTAGAGCTCTACCAATTAAGCCACAGCACTACTTCTCGTTTTTGAGTGGTTAATTGGAAGTTAAAGTCTCATAAGGACTTTTCTGCCAGGGCTGGCTTCAAACCACATTCCTTAAATCTCTCATCCTGAGTAGCTAGGATGACAGGTATGAGCCACAAGTATCCTGCTGGTCCTGAGCTTTTTGGCTCAAAGGTAGGCACTCTACCACTTCACAGTTCTACTTCCAACTGTTTGTAGGTTAGTGGAGATAAAGACAACTGTGTATCTCAGATCACTCAGCCTCCTGGGTAGCTAGAATTACAAACGTAGGCTGCCAGTGCCAGGCAATTTCCAGAGTTCTATAAAGTGACGTAAACCAGCTAAATGAGATCTGGCACACAATTTACACTTAAGTTTAAGAAAGATATAGAGGGCTGGGAAGATGGCTCAGTGGTAGAGCGCTTGCCTTGCATGCCTGAGGCCCTGTGTTTGATTCCTCAGCACCACATAAGCAAAAAGAAAAAAGTGGTAGAGTGCTAGCCTTGAGCTGAGGAGCTGAGGGACAGCGCCCAGGCCCAGAGTTCAGGCCCCACAACTGGACCCAAAAAAAAAAAGATATAGATTTAGGTCTTACAAGGTTTAGAAATAACACTTTGAACAGAAGGAATGTACACATCACTTACCATTTGCAATTCTGCACTGCTTCAGCACCTCATTGAAGCCCTCACAGAGCTTAAAATCACCCTGGTTCTGGGCACACTCCAAAAACTGCTTTATTTCATAGGAGCATGGGCCACTAAGCTGCTGCTGCTGCGCCATCTGAGTTCCCTGGGGCTCCTGCAAAGGCAAATCAGTCAGGTCTATCAAAAAAGGAAATCCTTACACCCACATCAAAAGGAAATGGCTGACTCTAACCCTACCTGGTAAGTGATGTCTGGCCTGGCAGGCTCAGCATTACCAGCTCCACTGAAGCCGCCAGTGATGGCATGGCCCAGTGTGTGCCCAACGGCAGAGCCCACAGCTACACCAGC